AACACGCCGCCGATTTATAACTGTGTTTATCAACGGAATCCGAACTCGGCTGCTGTTTGATACGGCATCAGATATAACGATCATTTCCAAGAACACTTGGAAGCACATAAAGAGGCCGAAAATGGTTGATTCCAACAAAGTCCCCCCACAACGCATTTGGTGGAGTGCTGAAGCTGCTCGGAGAAATAAATTGCAAAGTTGAATTCAACGGTGTGGAACAGGCCGGAACCTGCTGCTTATCTGATTGACCAAACTTGAACCTCCTTGAACTTGACTGCATGGAAAAATTACAACTGTTTGGTGTTCCATTGAGTCAGATTTGCAATAGAATTCAAACCGACCCAGTCCATGCATCGTTGGTTGATTGGATTCCGGTGAACAGCGGTTTATGTGCAGTCCGTTTGACGACACCAGCTAAGGTGAATTCTCGAAGTAGTAAAAAACGCTGTTTGTTTGTGATTTCCGTTTATGCTCAGCATCTAAGTCTAATCTAAGTCTAAGTCTAATCTAAGTCGGTCGCGCGCTCACTCGGTGGAAATTCTTGGCCGAAATGTTGGAAACCTTCCAGAGCACTCGGTAGAACGTCTTCGATTGCGAAGTTGAAAAGGATTGGGGACATAGGGCAGTCCTGTCGCACACCGCTATTGACTGAATTGCGAGGAAAGCTTGCCATAGACCCTCACTCTGCCGGATGTATGAAGATAAAGTGCTCGTGAAATGGCGGTATATGTCTCTGGCACTCCGTTCTTTAGCAAGCAACGCCATAACGCAGGTAGATCGACAGAGTCAAAAGCGGCATGTATGTCTAGGAATGCAACGATAGTGGGCCTGTGATAAATGTGGCGATGTTCGAGGAGCTGGCGGAGCGTGAAGATTTTATCCACGCATCCGCGGCCGGGACGGAAATCAGCTTGTCCTACACGATTGTATGATCCACTTACTGGGGATAGTCTACGGAGCAGAATGGATGCCAATAGCTTGGAGGCAACCGAAATAAGTGTAATCCCGCGATGATTCACACATGAAGTGCGAGCACCTTTCTTGAAAATCGGGACAATAACTGATTCACCCCAAGAGGAAGGCACTTTCTCTTCATGCCAGCTTTTGGCGAACAGCGCAGTCAGCTGGTTACTGATCGCCACACCGTCGTACTTGAACAGCTCCGGAGGAAGTTTGTTTGAGCCGGCAGCATTGAAGCGCTTCAAGCGTCGAATCTCGATGCAGACTTCCGTTTTTCTGGTTAACTTCAATAGGATGAGCCAGGGTGGACAACAAGGTGTACTTAATGTATTGATGGACGGTGGAGGCTAATTGAACTGCGAGTGCAAGTGCTCAGCCCAGCGGTCCATAAGCTTCTGTTGGTTGCTGATCGGAGACTTATCCACCTCGCAAATGACTTCACTGACATCAGACTTCCTGAGGTCAGTGGACCGAATAAGTTGGAAAATCTTGCGAGTGTTGCCAGAGAGGGAAGTGATCTCCATCTCTAAAGCACGCTCAGACCACCATGCCTCGCGATCCTTGCATAGGATTTGCTTGAGCAGCCAGTTGGCAGAACGGCGCCTCTCGTCGCAATATGATTCCGTTGGGATATCTTTGCGACGTTCGAACAGCTCCAGAGAACATGAAGAGGTCCAAGCCCTTAAGGGGCGTCGAGCTAAGCCGCAGCTTGACTGTCCGGAAATGGTCATCTCTTTCTGTATATAAGTCCAGTGTTGCTCCACGTCTTGCGGTGAATTGCACCTGAGTGCGTATGCCAGTGCAGACTGATAGCTCGATTGGGCAGAGGAATCAGTTAATCTGTTTACATCAATCTTTCGGTGCTTCGTGTTTCGGGACCACAAAACACAAGCAGATTTTCGCACAGACCAGTGCATGATCTGAGTCAACGAAGGTGGACCAAAAGACCTGCAGTGCAGTACGCTGCCACGCCATCTGAAGCTAATTGCAATGTGATCAATTTGAGACCACGGTTGTGTTGGCGAAGGGGGACACTAACTTGTAGAACGCTTCTTCGTACGCCTGAAGTTAGTGTTCGATAGAAACCGATGGTTGTTTTCGCACAATGTGAGAAGGCTCTCTCCACTATCAGAGCGGTTCTCATCGAGCGCGTAGTGACCACCAAGGTGACATTCGTATGGTAACAGATGGCTAACCCGTGCATTAAACTCCCCAGCAAGGACAATGACATCCGACTTTTTAACATTAGTCAAGAGCTGATGTAGATCCCGGTAGAATTCGTTCTTGACCGAGCCGCCACTGCAGTCATTTGGAGCGTACACGGAGATCACAAACAAGTTGCGTCTCTCTTCGCGGCGCTTGTTGATTCTACATGAACCCCGAAGCCGAAGTGCACATAGTCGGCTGTTAATCGGGAACCAGTCCAATAATGCCGCCTCGGCCTTGCCACTCATTGCTATACCTACACCAGCCAAACCCGCTGAAGCTGTTTCTGGATCTCCAGAAAGATGCAGGTGATATCGGCTTTGTGGTCAGTGGGGATGCCAATGTAAACACAGTGCTGGGATCTTGCAGCCGGGTTTTTGAAAGGCAGCAGACATAAATATCGAGGGACTCTAGGGTGCCCGCTAGACCGGCTTACTGTCCAATCTGCATGGGTGTCCGAACCTTAAAACACGGCAGACGGAATAAGGATCGGAGACGAACGAGAGCCATAGGTTGAACTCCGTGGTTCGCGGCGCAGCCGCAATCGCAGCCAGATTATTGGACACATGAATCGGGTAACAGAAGTTAAGGATTGTTAGCAAACAAACGATTGGCGTGTGATGAAGTCGCGTGAATGTGAGAAGCAGAAACGCTAGCTGATGAGCACGTTGTAGTACAGTCCATGGTTTTGTGAGAGGGTGTGGTACTACCCGGTTGCTCAAGCCGAAGTAGGGAGTTGACTTAGGGGACCCCACCCCGAGCCTTTGGCTAGATAACCTACCTGCGATGCAGCGGGGCCAATTCAGGGGATTGCACCTATTGCGAGTCGCTGACTGAATGTTCAGCTCATGTGTCTTTCGTTTGGTAGATCACCAAACAGGTGCCCAATACTCCCCCATGATATCATCCCAATTGCTGAAATACAATGCCTCACCGAGGTGGAACACTGTCGCCGAATATTTCACTCGAACGGGGTACACCCGAACCACCCAGATGGCACTACGAGGTAGTTCGGCAAGCCAGCCAGAGTGTACAATGTACAATGCAACCGTACGTTCGACCCTGCTGTACGGTTGTGAACCCTGGCCTATTGGGTCGGCATACGTTCGATCATCGCTGCCTTCGCGACCTAGCTCATGCCTGGTGGGAGCACCGCGTGAGCAATTAGCGTGTTCGGCACCTTGTCCATGGCACAAGAAGAGGAAATGAACTGCTCAGCACCGTTATTTCACGAACCAACCTCCGATGGCTTTGCTACGTGTTGCGCATGTCAGAATACCGGCTCCCGCGTCGTGCTTTCGCGCGCGGAGGGTATGGATGAAAGAACAGGAGAGGAGGCAATGCGATAACTTGGCCAAGAGGAATGAAGTCCCTATGTTCGAAGTTAGCCTCGGTTGGAACCTCTTGACTCCCTGGTTGGGGCCTGAAATACGATGAAAACATTTGGTTGGCTGGATACACTTGTTGATATGGCAAGCAGCCGGCCTCAGTGGCATTTATGTTGTGAGTTTCTCCATCCCTCCCCTTCTGTTTAGCCTCTCCTTCTAACCACGAGATCATTTCGGACACCAAATTTTTTAAGGCTAATAACCGGCTGTCAGTCCTTCGGAACGATGTCCATCCTTTACCAGTAGCTCAGCTGGCGTGCCTCTGTTGTGTCTTTTTTTCCTTTCCCATCTATCGCGGCACGATAACTGATGTGTTTCTCACCTCTATCTACCGGGTATAATAATGCACGTCAGACCCATGGGGTTGAAATTCAAGTAGTTGAACTGTTGAACCGTATTTGTTTCCCACTGATTTTGCGCTGCCTTTGCTGGATATAGTTTTTTAAAACTTCATTGCAGTAAATCTGGCTCTTGGCTCTTTTCTTATAATACAATATACCCGCATAACATCATAACATCAGTGACCGAAAAATGTCCGCTGGAGTGACCGTTGGAACACCCTGAGTGACCGTTTATTATGCCGACCGGTGCTTTTTCCAGCGCACTCTTAATTCATCGTGAATGTATTTTTCTGTTTGCAAATGCCATTAACAGTAAATGGAAATTGATTCCGAAATAGTAATTACGCCACACCAAAGCCGCAAGACTAGTCTGAGAACTTTTGTTTGACTGCAATTCGTCCCAAATGTGTCCAACCGGCTCCGCGATTGGCCACCTCGCGGTTTCAACGAGCTTAGTGCTCTGACGGCGCAAAGGATCTATTTCACCCATGTCACCGTATCTTTACCTGAAAACCAACTATTTGGAATTGTGCGTTGTCGACAAGGTATAGACATCTTAAGCTAGGGTGTGTAATGTCAATTTTCTTTGTCAAATTCTTTCGCTCCCTTTCTCCAATACCTCCCTGCCCCCTGTATATCATCATGTATGGCTATTTGCCAGTGAAGCATAAACACTAAGCACACACACACTACCACTACTACTGTTGCTATGACAGCAACAACCGTTGCTACTATTACGTTTGCTAAAACCAAAATTCTCTGATACGCCTTTCAACATTAAACTATATCTTGATGAACGCGACCAGCTGACTCGATCCGGCCTTTTCATCACTGCATTGTTTCGTGATAGATTATCCTTGTCGACGTACTTAGCGATTTGTTAAAATGTGTTCGGTGCCGGTTCCACCGAGACAATTTTCAACCTGCTTTTTCGAGGACTACTGAATCACCAGGCTGTCGTGCTTTTGAGCAGTTTACAGGCATGTTCCCCGATGATTGGTAACTAACGTTCTATCGTTACCCTACAGAAAATATTTCTTTACCATTTTATCTGGCTTTGAATGGGATAGCCATATGTGTGTCATCATTGATTTGTCATTGTGTTACAGCAGTCATGTTGGAATTCGTCTGATATCCAGGCGCCGTCTTGTTTCGCCTCATCCGCGGCGAGTGCTACACCAACCAGATGCAAGTGAGTATTCGTGTTCCTTGCTCATATGTACATGTTGCTAACCTCTGTGGCTTATCGGTTAACTTTCATCGCTGCTCTCACGGATCTTCGTCACAACGTGGTAATAGAATGCATTCACTCATCTCCTTTGATGGTAATAGTTCAGGTATTGATGTGCAATTTTTATTGTCACAGGTTTCCTTCGTTACCTCCTTTCCCCATTTTCGGGCCTATTAAACAGCTTCTAAACCTCGCTTTACGTGTATGCACACACGCTGATCGTGATACACAGAGAACACACCAATGTGTGATCGTGCAGTATATTTGTACGCAAACTGGCAACGCGCCTTTTTAAATCCGTCTTTTTCGCATGCCATCGCTTTGAACTCACGATACTGTTATCCTCTGGCGAGTACGTTGAATTTGAGTGCAACATAGCGGATGATATCTACTTCCATGCTACCATCGACCATTGAGTTAGGGTGGAACTTATTATCGTATGGTAAGACATTTGCCACTGGATAACAGTTGTGAGGCACGAACTCAACTTCCAGTTTACGGGGTATGTCGTACGAGAACCGATCCAGGGGACTAGGGCTTTATACCCTGTCATATCGTCGGCCTCGAGTTGATCTTATAATGACGCACCGGATATTGCACTTGGGCCACTTCCCTATTTCGACGCCGCTGCTGTAGGTTCGCGCACCAAGCAGCACACGCGGACACCGGTACAAACTGGTGGTGCCGGATTTGAAGCGTATCGCTCACTCTCTATGCTTCGAGCGTCGAGTAGCAAAATATTGGAACACATTGTCGGAAACGTTAGTCGAGTCGAAATCGGTGTAGGAATTTAAGAGATTCCTCGACGCCTACTTGGCGGATTACAGGTATATGGTGAGTATCGCATCCGGATAAGATGTAGTGCAGCTGTAATAAGCTGCCACCGTGCAGAATCAACGACTTGATTGCTTGCGGGTGTCCGGTCTAACTACGACGGAGCAACACAGATTTATATCTTTTTACTCTCTTATTTCTGTATTTAGTTTTCAGATAGCTTGTGTGACCTGCGTTTATTTCGTCTGTCACAGTAGTGCTTGAAGCCTGCTACTCGGTCTTAGGACTTGCCCATTAGCATGTGGACACTGCGCTGTCCAGGAGACGGTGGTTAAATCGCTACCAACTCATGGCGAGTACAAGGCGTTTACTTGATGTGTACTCGAATCACCAACACTTTACGCTTTTGGTCATTCTGCTTACTTCTTATCCCGGAACCACTTCTACACACTTTATCATCATTTCCGTTGGTCTACGAAACGTCTGTGGCTAGTTTTCTGCCTTCTGCATTACAATGACATGAAATATTCCTAACTTTTGTTGTGCATGGTTACATTCCACCGTACCTATGTTTCTACCGACAGGACGACATATACAAGTACAATATTGATATTGAGAAGCCACGGTATGATCAGTCTACTTATGTGGGCAGGGCGAAACACTTCTTCATAACCACAAACCCCTTGAATGTTCTCAAAACCCCTGCAGAGCTTGAATCAGCCAGGAGCATTGTCGAGAGGTACCGGTGAGTTTTTTCGATATCTTTCATTGCTTCAACCTAACTCACTTAAAGAGCCAGAGAGAGATTGCCCAACCTTACGGTTGACGAATTGTGGCATGCTAAACAGGTGTACGACTCTGCTTATCATCCGGACACCGGCGAGAAGATGATGCTTATCGGTCGGATGTCCTTTCAAGTTCCCGGCAACATGTTCATAACAGGATGTCTCCTCCAGTTTTACAAGTAGGTTTGTTAAGTGTCCTTGTGTTCCACTAACAGCACGCGTTTCCTACCTTCATGTTGATGCAGGTCTTGTTGCTCTAGCATTATGGGTTCTGGTTGTTGAATTCTGCCATCACCGCTCAAAACACATGGTTAAACCCATTCGAATCGAAAGCGTCCTGCTTGTGTGCATCGCATCCCCATTTCAACCAGCAGAGGTCGCCATCGAGCGCAAAACCGCATTCCCATTTTATTAACGAATGTTGTATCATGGTACTATGCTTAGCTTTAATGGATTAACCATTGATTCTCAGGCTGTCGAATGTTTGCGCCCCCTTCCATTGTAACTCGGATCTGCGCTAACCAGCCAATCATTTTTCTCCTGCTACTATTTAATTGATTTGTACTGCGGCACAACATTTGGGATGTTCCCCCCTCTGCCTAACATGTAGAACAATCACAGTTGAACACTAGTCTCTCTCGAGTATCCATCTTTAACCTACACTCGGGACGAATCGCATAGTTGAAAGCACCACGTATTTCAACCCACCTCAAGACATTAATGGAAGATGATTCTCGCTGGGAGTTGGACACACTGCATTTCTGTGAGTATTTCAACTGCGGTACCCAGGTTATACAGTAACGGTTGACAGAATCAATCGAAACACTCGCGTAGATAGACCTATGAGAAATCCGATTTGTTGAAGAAATCTTCATTCCTTTGTATTTTCGATAACACGGCAGTATTCCAGTTCGATCCTCTACCATGGGCGTTATATACCATCTGAACCAGTATCGAACTATGTTTAAGCAAGGACAACACGGAGAACGTATGGATACGCAAGAAACCGGGAGCCAGTAGTATATACTGGGAAGCAAAATCTGACGCGAATAGTTGGCTTATCCAAAAGTCAGGAAGCATGCATTGAAATTCATGCAACCACCTGAATGATGATCGGGCCGATAACTGCGATGGTATACATCCTATCCCTCGCAATTAAGCGCTCGTCTGTGGCATATCTACATTTCCGAAAGCTTTTGATGTTGCTGGTTCGTGTTGTGAAAACTGCATTACAAGCGCCGTTCGATGTGTGTCTTCATGACATGTTTGCCACGCATCTGGGTGCTAGTACTCCACGCACTCTCTCCTAATCGCGCCACATGCGACGCATTGTCAGATAACTTTGGGCCTCAACTCACACTGTCAAGACATTCTTGTTGGTTGCCCTCTTAGTGAAGGCTAAATCCAGCTGACCGCGATTGTTTACCTTTTCCTCCACATTCACCAAACTTTCCCGCCATTTTTGACAAGTCAGTCATCCTCTCCTTGTTCTCCTGACACTACATTGATGTCCGTGGTGTGTTTCACACTACGCATTGATTATACCTTCACTAACACGATCTTCCCTTCCTGTCAGAACAACTCCTGCCGTCATATTCTGGCAGTGGTTTAATCAAACATTCAATGCAGTGGTGAATTACTCAAATCGCAGTGGCGACACACCTATCACTGCCAGGTGAGTTTCGTGGTAATCGTTTACTCAGTGTGTGTGTGTGTGTGTGTGTGTGTGTGTGTGTGTGTGTATTACTAACCCCGCGATTGTAAAGTATTTCGAAATGATGCCACTTGTTACGTGGCTACATGTTCTTGACCCGCGAATCACAGCCATCTTTCTTGCTGCTTGTCTTGCTCATTGTGGTTCCATTTGACATCAGCCTCCATTTGCTAAGCGAGACTCCACTATGCCTCCTCGAATCTCACTTGTTTTGGCACGGGATAAGTTATCTTACAATTTATCAATATATATATATATATATATATATATATATATATATATATATATATATATATATATATATGCCCCATGCTGAGGCTAATGTTGCATTCATGATGCTTCTTCACCGCAGTTTGGCTAAACCACCTTACACTTAAACTAGGTCTTTTTAATATGGATAAAGTTCATTACATTTTATTTGGTTTGTTCTGCGTACTTGATAATCTTCTCCCAACTTGCACACGTCGCTCATGTAAATTGTGGTAAACTTGCGTAATGGTATCGCGTGGTATTATTTTAAATAACTCGGACATTTTGTACTTATCACGGATTCACTTATAACCAATTTCTTCTATATGCTCATTTAGCGAGTATTTATGTTGTCATATGCGTAGACTTTATTCGATAACGGCATTTTGAGTGATTGGCTGTTGTTTGACATCCCAGATGTGGCTGCGCTTAATGTGCATGTTGACAAGGTGCCTAACTGTCTATTACCCACTACCTCGTCCATCTGGCTCCAGGAGACAGTTGGTCGTTGCTAGAGGGGAAAGGGTGCACGGTCCTTGTGGTCGTGTTAGAATCAAAGAGTGATTCCATGCACTCAGTGTGGAGCGGACTACGGTCCAGCCACCGTCTTGTGTGCGCTTGATTCCCAAATACAGTGTGCTTGTGTTTGTTTGTGAAGGAGTGTGGGCCGGCTCCGTTGATGAAACGTGGCTCCCATCCACATGCCTCCCGGTCTTATTCCTTCGGGTTTACACTGGACATGGGGTGTGTGGTTGGAGCTATGGGTGGTGCAGCGCAAGCCATCCATGGTCCCTCTGTAGGCGCAGGCGTCCTGTGGCTGGTCACAGTGACAGGCAAATCCGAAACCGGATGCCGCCAACCATTTACATATATATATATATATATATATATATATATATATATATATATATATATATATATATATATATATAGTGACTGTTAGAGCCAAAATGGTTTCAAGTTAAGATGTGCTTTATACTCTCAAATGGATGAGTTCTCAGCATCTAATTTATCACTGCGGATACACTAAATGATGGGACCGGTTAACTATATAAGTACAAATTGAAAAATTAAATTGAACAAAGGTGTGCAGATGTCATTCAAAGAGCTGCATGCGCAAAACATTTATGACTTTCTGTCGACAAGAATACTTGACAAACAAGGCGACATTGTGTTACGATACGAAGGAGTGCCGAAGATCGAAATCCTAATTTTTGTGCGCGCGTTATAGGCAGATAACGTTTACGTGAGAGAATTCTGTAGCGCATGAAAACGGTCCCTTAGGACCTTAGAATAAAAATGAATGCGCGTCAAAATGCTTACTTGCAATAAAATCAACTATGGAATCTCTAGGCAAGCCACTACATCTGGGAGTATGTTTAGTCGATCGTACAATCTATCCAAAGTCCTTTTGCGGTAGTCCAGGGAGGATTACTAAAATACATGCGGTAGCCAATCTGAAAACTAAACTTCGCGTTACATAGAGCTTCTTAAGTCGAAAAGAATAAAAAGGTAACCTTCTGACTTTGTGTAATGTTTCCGGAACGTATATGGTCCAAGCTAGGTTTGGGGAGAAATATTCACCGAGATATTTAACAGTGGATGAAATAGGCATAGTTTTGTCTTCCAAAGTTAACAGAAAGGATGCGTCTAAAATTAGTCACACTTTATCAGTGCGGAGCAATGAAAATGTTACAACCGTGCATATCAAAGCATTAAGGTTAGGGGACCTGGTTGAGGATCAACACACAAGTTCGTCTAAGCCACATTGAAGCGTAGACGTCCCAATAGCGGGAGCCCTGAATCGCTTGATCTTCGTATGTAAGAATTGAATATCGGTTAATGGAAAGCATTGCTTGAAGTCGTGCAATATTTTCCACTGAGCAATTACGACGTCCGGATAGTCTTAAACGGTCGTTTCGTCAGTGCAGCATAGCTAGTTCTACTGCAGAGGATAGAGCAAATCTTTAGGGTACAATGATCCGAGTTATTGACCGGTGAACGCTTTTAGATGGAAAACAAACACATTTTGTTTGTGCAAGCAACATCAAGCTGTGCGTCTTGTCTGATCGGGAAAGTTAGTAAATTTATCGGCCCAAGTGACTTGAAAAACGTTGTTTCACATTCATTAAAGTCACCGGCAACAATGCAGATAGAACGTTATAGTTTTGGCTGCAATACCAGAAAATGTTCGGACGATGATGTGTCAGGGGCAATGTCTAAGTTTCAAATAACCACGGATTGAAAGCCACTGAGAAATTTACGCTTGCGTTCAACTTTATCGCCCAACTTGATTAAAATGGTTGGCCACGATTGTGTTCCCGATGGGGCGGAAGATTCACGCACCTTATCGATCCCATCCCATCGCTTCTTCTAAAAGCTGTCTTCTGTCCCCATTTTTATTCACTTCTACCCTTGTCTTAATCATGTTGTGTTTCCTCGTCGTCTCGCAGTGCTGTTATTGAGACTCAAGACGGAAGAAACTAGTTTTGCTTTACGCGGATGATAAAATAAACCCTGGTGTGGTGGTTACATTACCAAATCTTCGCTTTCACTTTCAAACTGCCGTGGTGTCCGGGGATCACCGGCTATCTGCTTTCCCTACATTCTTTAACAGTGAGGAACTTTTAAGTACCTGATTAAGTATATCAACTATTTTAGCGTCTACCTTGGCGGCGATGAGTTGTTAAACTCGTCATTTCCTTCATGAATACACCCCACTTTCGGCGTCAGAGAGAAATATCCCTCGTTTTTGATAGCCACTCATGCAATGCCACAGTGGGGATTGTTCTGCTTTACGATAGCGAAATTTACTTATATCTCATTGTCTCGAGCACCTCTACGCCTCGGACCGTTGTTACTTACGAATCCTTGCTGTCACTCGATGGAGCCAGTCATGAAATTCACAGGCAAATACTAGGAGTTGATAATGGGGCTGGTTCGATCAATGAACAAGACTAAACGGCTAGCGTTGGTTCGCGCATGTGCCGTATGCAGCCACCCGCTGCTCGCTTAGGAGCGCTTTGTATTCTTTGTTGGATTTCATATAGCTTAGGACTCGAGAAGAGTGGTCTTTGACATGGCTTCAAGAAATGGGGTCCGTGACGACAATACTGAGTGCAGTTAGTCCGTCTCCTTCCAGATCTGGGTTCACGCGGCCCACTCTGGGCGTGGTTCACAATCGATACCATGGACGAGTTCGTTGTCCGGTATGTTCAAAGTATGTTTAATGGTGAGTTGGCTATGGAGTGCGGTTGATCACAACGCGAGCCAATGAAATTTGCATGGAAGTTGTATTGACGATGCCACCGTGTCTTCACCCAGCGGTCAGCTGTTCGTGACCATGAACTGCTAGTGGATTACAGGTACCCTAATCCTGAACGTTTTAAGGGCATTTAGCCTTCATATCAGACTCCCTGTCGTTTTTGCTCATTAAAATGACATTTTTGATTTTATGGGACTGAAGTACTAGCGTTACGTACTCATTTGTTTGCTGAATCTTAATCGCTTACGTGGGCTAGACCATATCCTCTGTATGTCCGTTGACCGGCTTCCTCGGCTTGCATTATACGCCGTGGCTGCATCAAGTTGGGTAACCGCGAGGTGGTCAGTCCATGACGTGGCATAGAGGCACGAAGAAACTGACTGAGAGACTTGGTCAGGCTGGTGCTTGCCGTCTTCGTGGATGGGTGCCTCGGGATGGTCCACACCAATGGTCGAGACCCTGTCATACTTGACGCAGTCACGAAGTCCGTGGCATTCCTGCATTTGTTTTCTTGCATCTGGTTGTTAATTTTCATTCCATTCTGATTAGTCTAACATACTTCTTGCTTCCATTTTATTTACATTTTATTTGCTTTTAATCCCGCTATTTTTCCATTGTTATTTATTGTCATTCTTGCGATGTGAGTTGTGGCAACTGGATTCGCCACACTTTGGTGCTCGCATCATAGTTGATCAACTGAGCTGAACTGAATCAGCGTTGCGTATTGGTGCACTGCAGTTGATAATAATAATACTTCTGTTTCTATTCCCCTGATAAAGGAGCTCCCTTTGTCTGACCTGACCTTATCCAACTGCCACCTACAACTTCCCGTAAGTGTTATATATATATATATATATATATATATATATATATATATATATATATATATATATATATATATCAATAGGCGCAGGCGTCGTGTGACTGTCCTGTGGAAGACATTGACAGGCAATTCTGGAGCCGAATGTCACCAACCATAAGCACCTTTGGTTTACGGCATCCGCTTGTGGATTTGCCTCCTCCTGCGACCGCTAACAGTGGTTAGAGTTCTGCGCCTACTGAGGGACCATGGGTGGCTTACGCTGCACCACTCATAGCTCCATCCACACACCCCATATCCAGTGTAAACCCGAGGAAATAAGACCGGGAGGCATGTAGATGGAGTCACGATCGATTCGGACACTGGACACAGTACGCTTACACTTGCTCTTTAGCTTCTCATGGTCAACTCAATGATTCAGTAGACCGGCTCGGTTGAGGCCCACATACACACACGCGACCACATGTGCTACAGCACCAGGTGCATGACTTCGGCTAGCTCATTTGCATCGACACACGTCGCTTCCGTAACCGACCCTTTTCTTCCTTCAGCAATACTCCTTTCTAATGCATCTGGGCAGCATCATTCTCGATGTGATCACACCATTTACGGCGATCTGCTGCCATT